CCTGCCCTGGTTTGTTCTTTACAGTATAAAAAAAAAAAAGTTACAAGATTGTGTTTCTGTTCATACAGGGTATGGTGACATTAGAAGCAATTTTGTAAGACACAAAGCCTTACAGATTAATTGGGAAGAAATAGACTCACAGACATAGAAAACAAACAGTGGTTACCAAAGGGGAAAGCTGGGTGGGAGAGGGATAAATTAAGAATTTGGGAACATACACACACTACTATGTATACAACAGGTAACCAATAAGGATCTACTATATAGCAGGGAACTATATTCTATAACTTGTTACAACCTATAATGGAAAAGAATCTCAGAAAGAAATATATATAGATAGATACATAATCTGAAGCACTTTGCTGTACACCTGAAACTAGCGCAACATTGTAAATCAACTATACTTCAATAAAAATTTAAAAAATAAATTGATAAAAGGTTAATTGGGAAGAAATTTGGAACGCTGTAAAATTATGACGGTTAGGTTTGTGTACAAGTGTGTATGGTTAGTTGTAGGGTACCTATTTTAGTGATACAGGAAACAGCACAGTGAGTGGTTTTTAAAGTTTATGTTAGAAACAGTTATTTCATGACTTCTTTGTGCCAGGACCTAGGTTAAATTTTGAAGAGAAAAGGGATGAGTAAATTATTTTTTCTACATGCCTAAAGTGTATCCGCTGTTGTTGAGTAAGAAGCATAAAACAATTATTAGCAGAAGCAATTAAATATTATGGTTTTTAGGTGAGAATGATTAATGGGGGGGGAAGGGAGAGAGGTTGGAAAAAAGAAAGTAAAATATTTTCTCTAAGTTGTGAAAGATAAGAAAGTCCTTGCCAGGGGCAAAAAACTGTGTTTGTTGAGTATTTATTTACTTTGTGTCAGGCACCGTACTCAGCTATGTGTTAGATCTCCCTGAATCTTCCTTACTGGGTGGGCTCAGAGTTGTTAAATCAGTTACTCAGATATCACCAACCACACAGCCAAATAAGTGGGCTTATTAGAATTCTCTAAAGCCCAGCCTACAAGGGATTAGTAATCATGAGGGTTGTGAATGTAAAATGAGTGCCAAACTGACTTCACCTAGTTATAATTTCAGAGTAGTCTAGATTAAAAAAGAAAAGAATATCAGGTCCTAGTACCTAAATATCTCTATGTATAGAAATGGATTAACATAAATGTTATGTACAGAAATTGATTATTGATAGCATCATTAGTAAATCATAAATGTACTATAAATTTTCAAATGGCTTCACTCTTTGCAAATGTGCTTTCACAGATAATACCTTAATGAAAGTATGAGTTTAGAGGAGCAGTAAGTTGGATAATAATGCTTTACCCCTTCATCAGATTGTTCTTTGAGCCACAAAAATACTGAGTTCACATATCAAAGAATCAGTGACAGAGGGTAGTTTGCTCGTCCACTTACATACACATACAATACTGTCAAGTGCCTCCTCTAGCACTGCAGATCTTGCCAAAGATTAAAGGACCATTGGTTTATCCAAATTATTAGCTCCTTGCCTTTAACATTATATTGAGCACTTATCGTGTGCCAGGCTGTGAATCTCTTATCCCTGTTGAATGAATGAATGAGTTAAAGTCTTCCTGTGTTTTGATGCTTGCTTGCTCTTTGTCTTCTCCAGTTCCTCTCTAGATCATCTTTACCATAACCCAGCCTGGACCATGGTCATTGCGTTAATTAAAACTCAGTTTCTCTCTACAGAATAGTGAAACCCCAAATACTATTGGCTTAAATAAAATAAGAGTTTAGTTTTTTCTCATATAAAAGAAATCTGGAGCCAGGAATTGAAGTGCTGGGATGGAGGCTTCACGGAATCATCAGGGACCCAGGGACCCAGGCTCTTTCAGGCTGTTGCCCTTGTTCTTGGGATCCCAGGTGACTGCTAGACTTTCATGCATTCATCAGTCTTGCTCCAGATGGCAGGATGGAGGAAGAAAAGCAGAAGGAAAGGCCCCCTCCACTTTATGGATCCCCCGTAGAAGTAACATATAAAGCTCTTCTGTGTGTTTTCTTGGCCAGAACTTAGTCTTATGACTACATTTTGCTGCAAAGGAGTCTGAGAGATGGTTTTTCACCATTTTGGTAAAAACCAAAACCAAAACACCCCTCAGGTTCCTGTTGTTAAAGAATGAATATCGTGAGACAATCACTGGTCTCTGCCAGTCGTCACTCTAACGCTGCCCGAAGATGCCTCCTTGCTTCCCTTTACGTCTTGACAAGCGATTTTGCCACTTCGCAAACCAGCTGTCATCACCATCTTACTTGTTTACACCGATTCCTATTTCTACTCCCGGAGGAGTCTAGATTAGAAAAGGAAAGAACATCAGATCCTAGTACCTAAATATCTTTATGTATATAATTTGTCATGCTGTAGTTGCCAACCCAGAGTATTAGAAGTTATATGACTGGTTTAAACCATCTCTGATTTAACACAGTATTTGCTGTGTCTTTAAAGGTTTCCTGTGTTATTGTTAAGCCAGAGATCTAAGGTTTAGATTCAATATGAATAAACTAGCAGGCCTGCCCTAAAAAAAAAAAAAAGAATTGGTGGGAAAAGTCCTGAATTGTAGGCAGATCTGATGTCCTATGCCTGTTAGTTAACCCCAAATGAATTCCTGTTTTTAAACCTGTGGACTGTCAGTTCCTGTAGTCCATTTCTTACAGCAGTCGTTTTAAATGTTCCATTTGACTTCCATATCTTCATTTTGTTTCTTGTTTACTTTCTTATAAATAAATTGACCGTACTCTGCCTCTACCTCAATTTGGTTTGTCTCTGTGACAGGTCATCCTGCGCCTGAATCTCAACACCTGTTTTTATCAATAGTATGTAAGCCGTAGGGCAGGGGGGAGGGGGGAGGGAGTGTTAATTCCTGAACAAGACTACTTTGTGCTCTATAAATACCTGTTAGGGCTTCTCTGGTGGTGCACTGGTTGAGAGTCTGCCTGCCGATGCACGGGACACAGGTTCGCGCCCCGGTCCGGGAAGATCCCACGTGCCGCGGAGCGGCTGGGCCCGTGAGCCGTGGCCGCTGAGCCTGCGCGTCGGGAGAGGCCACAGCAGTGAGAGGCCCGCGTACCACACAAAAACAAAACAAAACAAAAACAGCCTGTTAAATGAATAAATAGATCATTTCCCTTTTCTCTCTTACTTCCCTCCTCCTAATTCGAATATAATATTTTCTGTATTTAAAATACCTTCTCTGGGCTTTGCTGCCATTTTTCCCCCATTTCTCACAGTTCAGTTTTTATTTTTTAAGAAGAGGCATCTCTCAGTTTTCTAACTCCTTGTTCTCTTTACTATCTTGAGGCTGCCTCCGTGAATTTTTAGACTTTTCTTTGAGATTTTCCCACCCTCGTTGGCCTTTTCTCATTGTCTAGTCTCTGTGACGTCTCCTCGGCATGCTGTGTTATCGACGGCACATTCTTGGAATTACCTGCTTAGCTCTTTTACCTTTCTGGCTTTTTCTTCTGTATTTCTTTTGTTGACGTCCTTCTGTTCTGTAACGGTGCGCAAAACATGACAATTTTGCGTTCGTAATTTGTTCTTTTCTCTCTCTGCTCTTTCTTTGTAGTATCTCAGCTTGTGTCTGTGCTTTGACCTTTAGCTATCACCTCTGTATGGATGATCCCCCGATATACATAAATTGCCTTTACTACTCATTTCTCTATCACTCTAAATACTTCGTGGTGCCTCAATTGAAATTCCTCCGTCATCCTAAACAGCATGTCTAAAATCTGGGATGTTAGTATTCATGTCTTAGGTGCACGTCATTAGGGTGTTGCTTCCTAAACTTTCCATGGTAACAGTCCTACTGGCAAAGGATAGCAGCTTCCTGTGTGTTGTTTTCCTTGTCTGGAATGCCCTTTGCTTTATTCTGTCCAGCTACTTCTTTTTAAGATCAAGTTCAAAAATCTGCATATCACAAAGATTTCTAGGATGACACCAGACCTTACTGACTTTCTAGGCTTTGAACTTCTGCCACATTCATTTATCTGTTACCCAGCATTCCTCATATCCTTGTTTTGTACTGTATTGTGGAATAAATCGTCTTTATTATGAATGTCTTATCTCGCAGATAACCTGTAATCTATTCTTCTTTGCACTCCTAGTGCCTGGTATATAATCGGCACTTAATAACGTTTGCTGTGGGTGATGCCACCCCCTTTTGATTTCCTTATCTTCTTCCATTTCTAACACTGAGATTGCTTTAAAAAAAAAGTTAATTTTTCTTATCACCAAACAAACATTTCTTTCCATAAATGAAATGGAGTACTTGGACTGAGCTGAATGACAGATTTTCAACAGCCTGATTGCATTCTGCTTTGCACTACTTACAGTACATTATAAAAGGCTTGAAATGATTGTTGGAGAAGTAACTTTTTTCCATCTTTCTTAGTCTTTTGAGTGTCATCTAAAAACTTGGAATAAAAGAGTCATGAAAAGAACTAGTAGGATTTTGTGGAAACAAAGTTTTACGTTGGAGAGTTCAAGATAACTCGGGGTGGAGGGAGAGAATGAAAGTGAAGGAGAGAATATGAATGAGGATGAAAATGCATGTGAAAGTACACACCCATTAGACCCACGCTACTTGGCAAACAACGTCAAGATGATAGCAGACCAGCCAGGTAGAAGGGTACTTGAATCAAAGTGTTACATATATCAAAAGGATAAGGATTCATATCAAGGGCATTTTTGCTGCACGCCCTGTACAAAAAGAAGCGTACCCAATTGTCTTTATGATCTATTTTTATGATAAATTCCTCAGCAATATAGTAATGTGATGGACATATTGAATAAAGTAGATCCATTTAACCTATGGTATCTTTTAAAATTCAGGTGTAAGAAATTAGCTGTGATTAAAATTTAGCTCTGTGTAGACTGCAAATCTGGTCTCAGAGAGTATGATTCCAGACTCATATGAGGGGAATGAAAGACTTGGTTCACTTGTTTACTTTATTTTGCTTTTTTTCCCCATAGGGAATTTGAAATACTGCCTTGTGATTCTGAATCAGCCTTTGGACAAATGTTTTCGTCATCTTTGGTGCAAAGGTAACCTTAATTAGCATTTATATTTCTTTGCTTTCTTACTCTACTTGGGACTAATGTGACTGTTAAATATCCCAGAACCCAGCTGGAATACCAAAAAGTGGAATTTAAAATAAGGTGATTTAATTATTGAATTATCAGAATAATCCATTTTTGCTTCTCCGTTAACCTGTGTATACATGTGGTTTCCACAGCGTGGACCTCCAAGGACAGAATTACAATATAGCATCACTCTATTGCAGATCATAACTACTGTATGTTTATCCTGAGTACTCAACAAGTATTTGTTCAAGTGTAAATATTTTTGGCACCAGTGACAGCAAAAAGCATCCACAAGCCTCCCTCATTCTGGCATTCATTAATTAGGTATCTGCAGGGTGACTGGATTTGCAACATTAAAACAGAAGACATGTTGCCAATATATTAGAATCTCTAGGGATTCTGAAAAATATAGTTAAAAATGGAATAGTTTCACAAAATTAAACTCCTGTGAGGTTTCATGTCAAAAATAGGTTCTATTGGGCTTCCCTGGTGGCGCAGTAGTTGAGAGTCCGCCTGCCGATGCAGGGGACACGGGTTTGTGTCCCGGTCCGGGAAGATCCCACATGCCGCGGAGCGGCTGGGCCCGTGAGCCATGGCCGCTGAGCCTGCGCGTCCAGAGCCTGTGCTCCGCAACGGGAGAGGCTACAACAGTGAGAGGCCCACGTACCGCAAAAAACAACAACAACAACAAAAAAATAGGTTCTATTAACTCTTTTATATTATTCTTTGATTTTTATGGAATGAACTCAAGAAAGTGATGTTAAATAGCATTTGCTATTTTAAACCTCTGCTCTTCTTTAATGAAATCTTGAGATTTTTTTTCAAAGGGATCCTTCTGCTGTGTTATCAATGTAAGTTTTGGGTCAAATGATAGGCAGAACTTGATTTGTGATATACTGAAGCATATTCCTGATACTGTCTCATCAGCCCAGAATTCTTCAGTTATTCTCATCATTAAGGTTGTGTGTCTTAGAGTGCAAATGTATTATGTTAATAAGCTCACATCTGGACAAAGGTAGTTGTGATACTAGAGGGAATAAATCATTATACATGATTTTGTGAAAAGAATTTTTCTTATCCAGTAGGATCACGATGAAAACTCTTGGTATTCTAAACTTAGCCATCTTTAAGTTAGGTAATGTAAACTTTGACCTTATAGTTGTACTAACATTGCCCTCATAGACAATTACTTAAGTATTATCTTTCATAGCACTTACTACTCATTTACTTGTAATTAGGTAGTTATTTGGGTACCGTAGTCCAAAAGGTCTTTTTTGTCACTTTATCTCTATTGCCTAGTGCTGTGTCTGGTGCATAATTGCTTAGTAATTACAAGGAATAAAAGAATTTAATATGGTTGATATTGCTGTTAAATACCAGAGCAAACTGCTTAGGCACATCTTTTCTACCTGAACTTATTACATCAGGTTTTATGATCATTTTAGGAGAGTGTGTGAGCAACTGTGTTTTACTGCAAACATTAGAAATAGACAAAATATTCATTGATAGGAACTGTTGGAAACCTTGGATAATGAAAACCACATCTTAAGGCTTATATTTTGGGGAGTTAATGGTCCTGTTTTGCACGTAGTGTGAAATGATGTAGATTTTTGAGCTGATTGAAGTTCTTCATCTCATTAGTTTTTCTGCAGTGAATTTGATCTGAAAAAGTCTCAGGCCTGACATTCACCCGCTAATCATTTGATTTGCATAAAAATATGAACACTTGGTTAGTATGTATCAATATACATGAAGAGAAGTAAAGGTATCTAAAGTGTCCTGTGTACTGAAATGTTTAGATAATTCTCATTTCCAAAATAACTTTTCTTTAGGTTATTGAAATGTTAAATTCTTTCATATATGCCTCTAGGATAATTCTTGGCATTTTGGAGCCATGAACCATTTTAAAAATCAGATCTGTTAACAAAGACTAAGGAATAGGTTTTTTGTGAGTCTCATAACAGAGGCTGTGGGTTTATGTTTGTGTTGCTGCTCTTCCAAGTAAAGGCAATGAAACAGGGAAACTCTGAGCTTGAGTTGTTGCTTTTCACAACAGAGAGAGCCCCAGAAAACAGCATCGTGGGTTTGGGAGGGAAGTCAGCATTGTGGTTTGGGATTTCATTTCAGCAAGTAAGTCATGGCTGGGGGCTGCCATGCTGTTGCTGTTGAGCTCATATGTACAACATTTTCTGTAATTTCTGTGGATGTGAAGATTTGGCAGGAGCAGAAATTAAGGGGTGGAAGCTGGACTGCTAGACTAAAACACAGAAAAATTTGAAGGCTGCTACACAATGTAAGTCTCTTATATAAAATCTATATTTTACCTTTAACCTATAGGCCAAGGGCTTCTGTTGAGTGGGTATTTCCTGAGATTCGTTTCAGGGGAAAGACTACTCTGAAGGTTTTAATTTCTTCCTGCAATGTTTAAGTGGCATGTTATAAAGTCTACTTAAAATGACTAAAGGAGGGAGTCAAGGGAGATTAAGATTATAAAAGTTTTTGAGTGTGTTTTCCCTTTAGTGCATCGTGAAGTTTTAATGATTTTCTTGGTCACAAGCCTTGGAATAATAGCCCTACATGTCTAGCGTTTTGTACTCTGGGTTTAATCTGGGGACATAAAGTAAGTATTTGGTAGGTAGGTAGATAGATAAAACAACAGAAGTATAGTTAGTGAGTATAGATAAAATGACAGAAATATAGTTAGTATCTCACTAACTTTCTGTAGCGATCAGAGATTATTGGCCTTTGTGACTATTGGCCTCAGATTTCTTAACCTCTTTTTTTTGTGGGGGGGGAGGAAAGGGCACAGTCATGAACTGTCTATAAAAGACTGAAGTGTACACCCTTTTTAGCAATATGCAGTGAGTCATAAAAGAAAGCGTATTTCTTTAAATTGTGTAATTCCACTTCTAGGAATTCATCCTGAGTGGAGGGTGGGGGGAAGCAACCAAAGACATAACCAAAGGTTTACAAGCAAGAAACTCAACATTATTAATGATGGGAGAAAACTGGAAATAACCTAAATATCCAGCAGAAAGGGTGTGACAAAATACAGCATGGAATATCCATCATAAGGAATCTTAACCCAAACCTCCAAAACTGCATTTCTGAAATTGGTTGTTTTTTTTAATCAATTAATTAATTAATTTTTTAAATTAAATTTTATTTTTTTATACAGCAGGTTCTTATTAGTCATCCATTTTATACACATCAGTGTATACGTGTCAATCCCAATCTCCCAGTTCATCACACCACCACCCCCACATCCTCTGCTTTCCCCTCTTGGTGTCCATACTTTTGTTCTCTACATCTGTGTCTCAACTTCTGCCTCACAAACTGGTTCATCTGTACCATTTTTCTAGGTTCCACATATATGTGTTAATATACGATATTTGTTTTTCTCTTTCTGACTTACTTCACTCTGTATGACAGTCTCTAGATGCATCCATGTCTCTACAAATGACCCAATTTCATTCCTTTTTATGGCTGAGTAATATTCCATTGTATGTATGTGCCACATCTTCTTTATCCATTCACCTGTTGATGGGCATTTAGGTTGCTTCCATGTCCTGGCTATTGTAAATAATGCTGCAGTGAACATTGGGGTGCATGTGTGTTTTTGAATTATGGTTTTCTCTGGATATATGCCCAGTAGTGGGAGGGCTGTGTCATATGGTAATTCTATTTTTAGTTTTCTAAGGAACCTCCATACTGTTCTCCATAGTGGCTGTATCAATTTAATTCCCACCAACAGTGTAAGAGGGTCCCCTTTTCCCCACACCCTCTCCAGCATTTGTTGTTTATAGATTTTCTGATGATACCCATTCTAACTGGTGTGAGGTGTTACCTCATTGTAGTTTTGATTTGCATTTCTCTAATAATTTGTGATGTTGAGCAGCTTTTCATGTGCTTCTTGGCCACCTGTATGTCTTCTTTGGAGAAATGTCTCTTTAGGCCTTCTGCCAATTTTTGGATTAGGTTGTTTGTTTTTTTAATACTGAGCTGCAAGAGCTGTTTATATATTTTGGAGATTAATCCTTTGTCAGATGATTCGTGTGCAAATATTTTCTCCCATTCTGAGGGTTGTCTTTTCGTCTTGTTTATGGTTTCCTTTACTGTGCAAAAGCTTTTAAGTTTCATTAGGTCCCATTTGTTTATTTTTGTTTTTATTTCCATTATTCTAGGAGGTGGATCAAAAAAGATCTTGCTGTGATTTATGTCAAAGAGTATTCTTCTTATGTTTTCCTCTAAGAGTTGTATAGTGTCCGGTCTTACATTTAGGTTTCGAATCCATTTTGAGTTTATTTTTGTGTATGGTGTTAGGGAGTGTTCTCATTTCATTCTTTTACATGTAGCTGTCCAGTTTTCCCATCACCACTTATTGAAGAGACTGTCTTTTCTCCATTGTATATCCTCGCCTCCTTTGTTGTTGATCATAGGTGCGAGGGTTTATCTCTGGGCTTTTTATCTTATTCCATTGATCTATATTTCTGTTTTTGTGCCAGTACCATATTATCTTGATTACTGTAGCTTTGTAGTATAGTCTGAAGTCAGGGATCCTGATTCTTCTAGCTCTATTTCTTTTCCTCAAGACTGCTATGGCTATTCGGGGTCTTTTGTGTTTCCATACGCATTGTGAAATTTTTTGTTCTAGTTCCGTAAAAGATGCCATTAGTAATTTGATAAGGATTGCATTGAGTCTGTAGATTGCTTTGGGTAGTATAGTCATTTTCACAGTATTGATTCTTCCAATCCAAGAACATGGTATATCTCTCCCTCTGTTGGTATCATCTTTAATTTCTTTCGTTAGTGTCTTATAGTTTTCTACATACAGGTCTTTTGTCTCCCTAGGTAGGTTTATTCCTAGGTATTGTATTCTTTTTTTTGCAATAGTAAATGGGAGTGTTTCCTTAATTGCTCTTTCAGATTTTTCATCCTTAGTGTATAGGAATGCAAGAGAT